CGCATTTCAATTCCAGGTTGACAACTAGACGATGTTGTAACTTGTTGTTCCTTATTTGTTTTCCCATTTTAAGTTTCAAGATGTTAACTTTGAGAATTTGTGCTTTATGTGTTGTATTGGAAGTTCCAATGTTGGTTAAGTTGCATCAATATGGTGAATTGTGTTTTAAATGTTCAAATGTAGCTTAGGAATGATCCTATAGATTCATTTGGAACATAGATGTTAGGTGGCATGACCCATTTTAGTTGTTTTCGTATTTTAGATTGCAAGTTGATGGCTTTGAGAATCTATATCTTGTTGCTTCGTATAACATACTTCTATGTTCCTGAATTGCATGAATGATGTGACTTATACTAGAAATAAGCTATGGTAGCTTAGGATGATCCCTGAGTCTCACTTTGACATAGACGTTAGGTGGTATGATCCTTTTGAATTGTTTCATGTTAATGTAAAAATCTGTAAAAAGTTAAGTCTATGCATGCTCATTTCCTACGAGTAAACTTGTTTAACCACCCCAAAGTTACCGGGTGATTTGTCAGGTATAGATGCCTTGGTTTGGGATGCACAATATCCCTGGATCGTTTCGATGAATTGAAGTTCTTTAAGTGTATTCTTGTTCATGACTCTTGTAAAGGTTGGCTTGAAATACCACTTGTAGCATTTTATGTCAAAATGTGTATATTCGATTCTAAACATGTATGTGTACATAAGTACACTCTTTACAATGTAATTGACATGTATGAGATGAGGCCGGAAGCCAATGACATGTATTTTGTATCCTATGTAATTTTTTTTGACTTCATGAAATATTATGAAAATATTGAAAAATGTTGAGTTATTGTTTCACCATAGTTACATCGGGTGTGGGAATTCTATTTTCATTCTTTCATAGGGTCTCATTAATCATGTATGAAATGTGGCCAATGGCCAAACGATAATTTGAAACCATTTCATAATTTTGGATTTCAAAATTTCCATTTCAAGTTCATTTTCGCCTTTTTGGCCGTTCGGGGGTCGAATTTTGTATCGACGGTATTTTTAAGCCATGGACAATTGTAACACGTCCTAATAGGTAAGTTACGTTTGCATGCATGATCATTTTCAAGAAAAACCTCTTCCTTGGTGATTTGAGCCTCCCATGGACTCATTTTTTTTTTTTTTTTTTTTTTTTTGCATAAACTGAGTATAAGGGCATTTTAGGTATTTTACTTGAAAAATAAAAACTTCTCTTGACATGATCATATAGAAAATTTGATTTTAAGGGAGTTTCTTCTTTGTGTTTTTCCAAAAAACGTCATCTTGGACACGAAAACCCCATTCAAATTTAATTTTCTGGTAGAAAAAAATTTTGCTTGTTGTCAGCCTCATCTAATTGATTAGATGGTCTTGATTTGCATCTTTTGACCCTTTTCCTTCATTTAATCATAACTTTGTCATCCGGACTCCAAATTGAGTGAATTTTTATTTGAACTTGACTAATTTTCGTTATCTATCCAACGGTGTGCTCGGTTGCACCCAAATATTCATGGATAATTACCAGTTTACCATTTTAGTCTTAAGTGCTCGTTTTTCTTCGTCTTGTCGTTTCTCCTTCATCCGGACTCCGAATCATGTGATTCTTGAGTCTATCTTGATTAATTTTTCGTTGTCTTTCCAATGGTGTGCACGATAGCACCCATTCCTAGGTAAAATGACCCTTTTACCTTGGTCCATTTCTTGTAGGGTTTTGAAAACCTTATTCCCTTCTTGCTTCCTTTGAGTCTCGGGACTCCTCGGGAAGCCACTTTCGTGTCTTAGGGATGACGTACATCTCTTTAGACTTTCATTTTGTGTGAAAAGACTATTTTGCCCTTGGAAGCGTACTTGGTCTATTTTTTATCTTTTTCTCCTGCGTTAGTTCTCGTTGAGTTTTGTGACCTCTTGAAAAGTCACTTTGGTTTCTTAGAGACGTATTGTATCTCTAGAGACTTGGGTTCTATTTTTGCTTTCGCATTTTGGATTCGTTATCGGATCTATGTTCGGTTTATCATAGGATGCACTGGCCTAAAAACCAGGGCCATCACATTTTTGTTGATATTCAAAACTTCAAATGAAATTTTTTTTCTAGGTTTTGTAAAAATTAATTTCTTATAGAATTCTTATAAAGCATTCTAATAAAAATAAATAAAAAGAAAAAAAAAAGTGATAGAAAGAATCATGTATGAGATAGAATTTTAGGATAATAAGACCATAACAATCGTGCTTGAGTTGGAAGGATTTTAAGATAGTCACATTATGGAAAGAACGTGTTTGAGTTGAAATTTTAAGATAGCCACATTATATTTTTATGTGAATCAGTTTTTATCGGGTTCTATAGTCGTCAATTAAATCACTTTCTTTTAGATTATATAAAAACTATCTTTTGTTAAATGCTAATTAAAGAAAGAAAAAAAAAATTCTTCAAGGGCCAAGTATAGATTTTATACCATATATGCTATACTATTTTATTTTTACCTATACTTTAAAAAATTCCAAAAAAATTAAGGGAGGCCATGGCCCCCGCCAGCCCCCCCTTCCCTCCGCCCCTGCCTGATACTGACATAGACCTAAAAAAATAAATTTTGTTTTAGGCCCATAAATAAGTTCTTTCTACTACATCTCAAATATATATTAGGCATTATTTCTATCATTACGGTTTGTTTGGATTTAAAATATTTTTCAGAAAATATTTTTTTATTTTCTGGTGTTTGGTTGTCATAAAATATTTATGAATAAACAAAATATTAAAATTTAACAAAAATAATTTATCCATAAATTTTCAACAAGTTATTTTATATACCCCGCCCGATAGACTCGACGTCAACCTCGATGTAAACTTTTACCAAATATCGATAAAGTAAAAATAAAAAAAAAAAATTTTATTTAGAAAAAAATATATTTTTTTTTAAAATAATATTTTATGTCGAAAACAAACTTAGCCTTAATTTCTGCAAATGTTTGGTACCTTTCACCGAGAAAGAATATTGGACACCCCATATTATATAAATATAATACCACACTAACTTAGGTAGGAGTATGTTTGTCTTTGTTGACATTTTTTCAGCAATAATGTACGAAGTCTTGCCATCTAGGGCACTATTTCTAGATTATATGCTTTTGCTATTTGCCATCAGTTAATGATTTTTCTAAGCAAGTACATATCTTGTAAAATTCAGGGGAAAAAATTTACTAGGCCACTCATGATACACATGACCTATGTCAATCATTCGCAAAAATCAACCTATTTTAAAGATTAAGAAAACTTTAAACTTGTCAAAAAATCCACAATAAAGATTCAGAGACAAGTGTGAACTATTGTGGTGGAACTCAAATCTCTATGAATCGATTGTCGACTATCGACAAATGTAACACGGTTCTATAGATTAACTTGTGCACTTAATGAAGTCAAATTCCAACCATTCATAAAATTCGACTTATTTTACCAACATACTCATGATCGAAAAACTCAAAATCTAGGCTCGAACTTTACATGATCACTTAATGAAATGGACTCCGTTCATCATCAGCTCAGTTCATTTTCAATCTAATTTAAACCACCCAATTCCAAGCCTATTAAATTTAAGAGTAAATTGCACTGACACTTCTTGAGGTTTTTTATCAATGCCACTCAACGGACGATTTATGAGTTTTTTTACATTGACATTCCTTGAAATTTCAAAAATATACATTGACATCTCTTACCGACCTCTGAAACCATATAAAAATTACCTTTAAACCATTTGACTTGTTAACAACTCCATTTAAATCATGAAATTACAAATTTAACTTCCTAACTAAATTTAATGAACCAAACTACCCTCTTCATCTCTTCTATACCTATAGATATAGTTTTTATATAATAATACTTGTACCACCATAACCACATCACAACATAAGAATAAAAAAGTAAAAAAAAATTTAATCTTCTTTTAAATAATCAGATAATTGTATACCACCATAACCGCCACCACACTAAGACAACACCACCAATACACCCAGGCGTTACCAGAACCACCACCACCACCACAATAAAAAAAAAATTAAAAATTTTGAAATACCCTCATAACCTAGACACCACCATAACCACCACCAGAGTAGACAAAAAAAATATTTAAGACAACCATGGCCAGCCCAGACCCACCACAATAAATAATAATAATAATAATAATAATAATAATAATAATAAACAGCCATGTCCGAAATCGGGAAGAGAGAGAAGGAGTGTCCGCAGCTAGGTACTAAAATGAACAAAGAAAAAAAAAAAAAAAGATTAAAGATTAGGGTAGAGAGACTTAATAACGAAGGTAGTTTCGTCAATTAATAGGACTACATTTTGTAAATTAATTGAATTAAATAATCAGATTTGAAACCGCAGTGGATGTCATTGTTAAATAAGTCGGGTCTGAGTGACATTGACCGAAACCTCAAGGAGTGTTAATGCAATTTACCTTAAATTTAAAACCCATTTGCTTCACATGTTAAAACATAAAAAAAAAAAATTAAAAAAAAAACGCACATTTATCCGACAAGAATTCTCTTCTGTTATCACTAGACATCCAAATAAACAGTCCTGATCCCATTTCTAGGGCTAACAAAGACATCCAAATAACAGTCATGATCCCCTTTATAGGGTTAACAAAGAAAACTTTCAGCAGGTTGCAACTCACTGCAGAGGAACTAAGCATGGAAGCCATATTTCACCAACCCAATCCATATGATTATAATCAATGCATTGAGGCTAGTTAAGCTGCGAGCCAAAGAAAAACCTAGCAGGTCAAGTCGACAAAGCTATAGATCTCATTGATTACCCATACACAGGATTGATAAAACAATGAATAGGGTCCGAATGTTTTCTCAATCTAATGCAGCTTTAAACAGGTTCTCTGAAAACCATTCATGTCTCGTTTTAGAGTTTTCAGCAGAGTAAAATGTAGCTAAGCTGCCATCTCAGACGCTTCTTGTTCAAAAGACAAATTCGAAGATACTTGTTTAAGCAAACCCATTAGACTAATTTGAAGTCCAGAAAGGGTTATCAGACAACTAGCACCCAAGGACAATATCTCATCTTACAAATAAGTCAGGCCGACCTGTGTGCCTTCGAAAAGGTGGTTTAGTTACTGCCCTATACAAAGTATTGTTTCATGAAAATTTGCCAGGAAAAATTCGTAAAAGTTAAAATGAAAAGCTGGCAATCTCTTCGTCTTCATCCTCATCTATCTCGTCCTCGTCCTCAGTAAACCTCTCATAGTCATTGTCTTCATCTTCCTCTTCCTCATCTTCGTCCTCCACCATGGCCTTGCCAGCAGCTTCTTTGTCCTTCAAGCCTGTGCTCAAGACAACAGTTTCCCCCCTGGACTTCTCCATGTCTTTCCTTAGCTTCTCCATGTTCCCCCGCCTACGTTCTTCCTCCAACCGTAGCTTCTCTGCTCGCCTCTTGTCCAGATCAGCCCTACAAAATCAAGTATATGGAACACAATTTGACCGTTTATCCTAATAATGAAAACCCGTAATCAGAAAAACAAAAGCTGTAGTCTGCTCATTCGGGTACAATAGTACTACAGTTGAAGATGTAACAAATTATTGAGTTCGGGAAGTACTTATAAGTTTCCATGTACTCTTCAGTACTTGCTTCAATGGCCTTGAAGAAAGCATCCATCCCAGCACCAGAGACAGCAGATACTCCAACAGATCGCAAATTCGCATAAAACTCCTCTAGAGCAAGAGATAAACTTCTAGTAAGGGTTGAAGAGTACGAGTGATCTGAATCTAGTGCCGCATGAAATACCTCAAAGTCTTCCATCCACTGCACCACACCAACAGCACTCGAATCAAGATAAAAGAAAACAGAACAGGACCTGAATTTTACATATCCAATAAAATAGACAATACTAGGATTGAATGAAATTTGAGAAATAAGAGAAAATGAGGGAGAAACAACCGCATTTATACGTGTAATGCTACTGCTGACTGCTATATTGACATATTGGCTCAAATTGTAGCATTTTTATTTTCAAGAAATGACTCATATTCTTTCCAGGAGAGAAAATAAATCACAAGATTTTGAGATTTGCTTCTATATATTTGGTTGTGAGAGAAGAATTCATAATGAAGAGGAAAGATGAAAGATGGATGGAGGTATTGAAGACGGTTTTATATATTCCTTTTTCTTTTCTTTTTCTTTTTCCATTTTGAGCATGTGGAAAGACGAAGAAGAAGAGAAGTTTCCGAACTTCTATCCCTATTTTGATGGAGCTACTCCAAAAACAGAAAATTTCTCTCTAAATATCCCAAATTCCTCTCTTTCCTGTATCACAACCAAAATTTATAGTTGCAATTACATATTTATTTGGCTCATTTCATCAGGAAATAAGATCTTAACCAGTACATATACCGTGCAGTTACTATATCTTACTAGTACAAGTTTTTTTCTTCTTACAGCTTTTACAATCAAGCTAGATTCCATATTAAAGATGTGGCTCCCATAAAGAAGTATAGAAACTTCATATTTTAAAATACTTCAAGAACTTACTTATCAAAAGAAAGAAAAAGGACTTCAAGAACTTTAAGTAAACCATAAAGCTCTATCCTAACAATGTGACAGGGTAACATAGTTCCTCATTAGGCTTTTTAGATTCGTAGTACAATAAGTCATTTATTAGACTTATTCGATATGCTTTTTGGCGTTCCACTTATTGTTGAAGTGCCTTCAACTTCTTGTAGCAATTATCGGTCTTCACTAACGGCTCATTCTACTCAACACTCATCTCATTCTCAAATGATGCTACTCTGCCTCCTTAAACATATATTTTTTTTTTCCATTCATTTCTTTCCAATAAGTTTTCCATTCACTTCTTTCCAATAAATTGTCTTTCTATTCTTCTTTTGGATATGCATAACCTGGCATGTTGTCTCTTGTCAGCCCAATTTCCAGCTCATAAAGCATGATGGCTGGCCTTATAGCCACCTCAGAATATTTTTCTTTGGAAAGTCATAGGAAACTGGTCTCACACAATGCTCAGTGAACATTTCTTTACTTCAACTAACTTAGCTTTACGAATTTTATCCTCCACTTCCAATTTCAAAGTTTATTTTTTATTTTTTATTTTTGGACAAGTAATTTCAATGTATTCTAATCTTAGTTTTCCCAAAGTAACAATTATAATGATTGGTATTTCACTCACTTATCCTCAATTTTTTTATTATAATTCATCCCTCAAAATTCTAGCATAGCCTTTATAGTTCAACCAAGACCGTATCATAAAGGAACAGCATATACAATCAAGCATTCCGATCAATTGATAGAAAACCAACACAAATAATAAGGGTCAAACGCCAAAACCAGTATCACCTCGGCCGTAAATTGCAAGAAGGAATTAAATAGCACATTTAATCTTAAATGTGATGATGCAACTAAGCTAAATAAAACACTCAAGTGTTGCTTAATAAAACCAAAAACTAGTACAAAATTCGTACTCATGAACATTTTAAGCACTAAACCTATAGAACTAAATATTTAACGGTAGCTTGAAAATACAGATTGAATTTCAAAAGTGCCTTTCATTTAACGCATTTAACTTCCAGTTATAAGTGAATTCTCTCTTACCTAAAATAGACACCCTTTTTTGAGTGAAATTTTCTTCTCAAGTGATAACTAATGTTATGTTATCAAATTTACTTAATAGAGAAGCCACTTAAAAGTTTCAGTTTTAACTTAAGTATTTAATTGGGTTATGAAATAACACCTTAGTTGGAAAAGATATGCCAGTTCCAAGTTTGGAAAGGATTGCATTTAGGCAATGAAAGAGTATTTCAAATTAAATTTAAATGAATAAATTTCAAATTTACGTTGAGACAATGCAAAAGGAGAACATCACTAGACAACGGCATGAAGTGTTCATATTTAGTTTAAGTCATAACACACTGTAAAATTCTTCACTTAGTTAAAGACAGTGTTTATTCATTCTATTCTACTATATAACCAAAAGGAAAATAAATAGCCTCAAATATACGAAAAACTATAAATCAAGAAAATATATACCACAACGCATATTTAGTAATCCAGATTAGTTAAAGATAAAGTGTTTATTCATTCTATTCTACTATATAACGAAAAGGAAAATAAATAGCCTCAAATATAGGGAAAACTATAAATCAAGAAAATATATACCACAATGCATATTTAGTAATCCAGAGCGAGTCCTTGACACAAACCTATCATTTATGAAAAAACCACTAGCAGAGACGATTTACCACCGAGCAAAACACATCCAAATTCAACATCATGACCATGAACATGAAATTTGTATAAGCATATTAAAGTGTAAATGGTCATGCACCAAAAGAGCCAAGGCATCCAGGGTTTACTGTTACAGGAGTGTAAGAATTTCAGAATTTTTCTTCCAAAGGATACTGATATTTCACTGATTTACAGTTTACTTGATGTAATCATGGATAAATGAAATACCATGGAACTTTTTCTTTTAATAAAAACCATGTAACTAAATTATGGAGGAGCATAAAAGAGAACCATGGTAGAAGAAGAGAAAGCAGAAAAGAATAGGAAATTGGTTGCGTTTAATAATAATATATATAATGGTGTAAGAAAAAATAAGAATATTAAATAATATCAACTTTGTTTCATATTAAAAATCCAGTCTTGTATACTTTCTTGGATTTTACTGTCATACTTCATTAGTCTATACTACTCTTCCAGGATTTGCTAACAGACTACAATTCGTGTTTCACATTTTGTATACAAGAAGGGCTCACAATTTAAGCTTTAGCCCAACAGAACATAATCTAACGAAAATAGCATCAAGACTTTAGCTTAGGTTCTATCTCCTCCACCTCACGAATAGGATGTTAGATTCAAGTCCTCATTGGGACAAAGAGGGTCTATGTCCCTCTTAACTATCCAAATAAGAAAAAGAATATAATTATGAGTATCTTCTCATAGCTTGCAGATACCAACCTTAGAAAGGCTCAGTTACTGCTCACCAGTAAAGTTGTGATGAAATACATAGTGAAATGTCAAAAAACCAAACAATCAATGCAATCTCACCGTTTTGAAAAAAAAAAAAAAAAAAAATCAACTTGAAAGTCTTGAATAGTTTCACATCACATCACTTATGAATTATAACCTACACTGACATTTAAAATAAATCCCAAGCCAAAATTTCAAATTTGCTGATTGTTGCCGATTTATAAATTAGATTCACTGAATATTTTTTTATTGGGTTTTCAAACCTATATCAGGCTATAATTGAATAACTGGAACCATCAATCTAGGACCTAGCTTATTAAGTAACCTGATGTTTCTTTGTATAAATAGAACATCACAGGAGTCTTGAGCATAATTTTTTAGATTGATTTAACATTTTAAGGGAGTTGGAAAATTATTAACATAAAGCTCAACAAACTTTCCATTGCAAGCCATCTGGTTGGTTTAGATGAACTGTTTGACCCATGAACTAGACAATTCCTAACACAAGATACCCAACCCCCACCTTGTTTTAAATATAACACATTTAATGAACTCCAATATTACAAAATGTGAGATGTTCCAAGTCTAAAACCTAACAACAAATAAAACCTCCTAAGGGTAAAATTCTGCAGTCTAAGGTACTTCTCTTACATAATGTGTGTGGTTATACACAGAGAGAAAGAATATAACACACATTGAGCTTGATGTTCTTCAAAAATGATTGCATTCAAGTGCATTATAAAACTAGCTCTGAATATGATGCAAATCTATGCACATAATGTGCTTCGAGTTCACTTCAAAAATAAAAATTAAATTTCTTGCTTTACCTTCAATTATTAGCACATGACACCCGTTCACTGCTACAATTAAATCTCAAAAGATAATTTTCAAGAAAGCAACACAATTTATGAAGCATTTTTATTCCTCCTAGTTTGCCATGGTTGTATCTGATTCATTTAATACACCTTAATATGTGTCAGATGCAGGCTGTACATGTCATGAAAATGTTAAAATGTTCTTTTAGTTTCGCATATGTACCATGCCATCAATAAGGTCTGGGATACTTCAAGCACAAGACAGGGCTTACTATATAACTTTGAACTCTTAAAATGGGGCACTAGTAAATAATAAGGACATTTGTTTTAGAATACAATTTGGTGATGGGTACTCTTTTTTTCTTTTTCTTTTTAAAGAAATAACCAATAAAAAAACAAAAATAGTTTTAAGCATCTAAAAGGCCGTTAAATCAGTCCCATTTCATAATCCACTCTGGACTCACTCTCTCATCACAAGCTTAAGCAAACCAAAATGAAAACAGATCCCGATTGACCTCACACTAAAACCTAATCAAGACATAACTAAACTCAACCTGAACCCTCAACTGACACTAATAGGACTCCTAATCAAGCCTAATCCCTCTATCAATTTCAATTAGGCTCTCAATCGGCCCTGAGCCTTAATCCTTGATTAAATCCTAACAACTTGATTGAACCCTCAATGAATCAAACTCTAATTGCACCTTTCCCCATGTTCAGATAAGAAAAGTATTACAAAGCATTTGAAAAAGAAGAAGATGATGACAAAGCAGGAGACTGGACAAACCTCTCTTTTTTCTTAATCTAGGGAATCAATTTTCTTTTGCAATGTTATTTCCCTATTCTGGTACAAAGGGGCCCAAAGGCTTTGTTAATTGTTTATTGCTTGGAGCATTTGTTTACCTTAGCTACTTAAATACTTCTGTCTGTTCTATATAATTAGGCTGGTTTTTAAGAAAGCAACTTCAAAAGGGTTAGCCCAGCACAAGAATCTCAGAGTTATCTCCGCATGCAGAAGACTCTTTTTTGTTTTGAACCCGTTACCTCTAGGTCACAATGGAGCAATTTCACCTTTGCGCTAAGACCCATCCTTTGCATGAAGACTACTTATTGAGATAAAAACATAGAATTCTTATAAAAAATCAACAAAAATATATATTGTCATATATAAAATATCTATTAATTTATATTTATTCTTGTTGTGTCCTTGTTTTTTTATAGATTTTATTTCATTGTTGTACCCATATCCTTTCTCCATATAAGTATATATACTTCACATGGGCTCAGAGTTATCTCCGCATGCAGAAGACTCTTTTTTGTTTTGAACCCCTTACCTCTAGGTCACAATGGAGCAACTTCACCGTTGCACTAAGACCCATCCTTTGCATGAAGACTACTTATTGAGCTAAAAACATAGAATTCTTATAAAAATTCAACAAAAATATATATTGTCATATATAAAATATCTATTAATTTATATTTATTCTTGTTGTGTCCTTGTTTTTTTATAGATTTTATTTTATTGGTGTACCCATATCATTTCATATCCTTTCTCCATGTAAGTATATATGCTTCACATGACAGAGCAAATTAGCATTAAACTGAAACAAGTATCGTTTAACATTACTTCATGCACAGAAAGAAAAAATTGAAAATCAACAAATAAAAGTACCAAACAATATTTTGTGCAATTAATGAGTAAGGAGTACCTCCAAAGCAAATTGATGTTGAGCCACGTCAGTCTTGTTGAATGCCAATACCAAAGGCAACCTTGTCTTGTAAAGGATGCTACAAGCATAAAGCATATTGCTCATAAAAGTAGATGGATTGGCAGAACGAGGTGTATCAACTACATAAGTAATTATAGTGGGAAAGGTTGAAGCAAAAGCTTCTGTTATTATTGCTCCAGAAGCAGACCACGTGAATATCTCAATCTGACCAGGAGTGTCGACAAGAACATAATCGAGCTGATCTGCTCGCTTCTCAATAACTGATATAACCTGAAATTGGACATTGTTAAGGTTTATTACACTTTTTTGAAGCAACAGCAATTCGATTTTAGGGGAAAAGACAAAACTAAATTATTTGTAGTAAAAAGAAACAGAGACAAAATTCATATAGAGCACTAGTACCAACCCCAACAGTGTGGGCACTTGGAAATATGTTGACAGTTCTAAGTTAGCAAACCATTCACTCTCTCTCTTGCTACATCTTTTTGTACATATGCATGTAAATTTGAGCACATCAACATGCATATGTATGTGTATATTTTGTTAATGGTAGTTATGAATCCCTAGAGTGAAGGGGATTTGGGGATCCAAAAATATTGATAAGCGCCGAATATTGCATATTCAAGCGCCCTTAATTGCATTAGTTAAGTCCATTGTTTGTTTAATTATGTAGATTACCTTCATATGCATGTTTTTGCATATTTTCAGGTTCATTGGCCAAAAAGAAGCAAGAAGGATGCTTTGTGGAGTTTTGAACATCAAAGGTCACAATGCTGAATTTCTGGCAGCAGTGGAACCTGGACTTTGCTCGCCATTTTGACCTAGCAAACTCAAGAATTGGACTTCCATCATAACAGGAAATATTTAGAGCTCTGAATCAGCTTTCCAAATCTTCAAACAGTTCGTCATTCGGAGTTCGGAGCAGAGAGTTATGATATTTTTATCAGAGGTGCTCAGAACTGCCTGGCAGCAATGAATTTCTGCCTTGCTCTTCAATTTCGACCAACCAGACTTGAGAATTGGATCTTCACCAAAACATAAAGTTTTTAGAACTCTGAATTAGATTTCCAAATATTCAAACGGTTCATCATTCGGAGTTCGGAGCGCAAAGTTATGGCTGTTTAACCAAAGTAGGTCTGGGCGGAGCAAGTGAAGCATGGAGCTTTTTACACTAAATTCGAGTGCTCGAGGCCTTGCTTCGAGTGCTCAAATTTTGGGCAGATTGTTGTTCGGGAATAGCCCATTTCAGCCACTTGCACTCTACATTTACCAACTTTGGATTTCCCTATTGATGAGGTGGTTGAGGATGTCTTTTGGGGGAGAGAGAGAGGCCTTATCTATAAAAGAGAAGAGAAGGGAGGCCACACAAGGGGATTATCTACATTTTTGCTAGATTCGTAGAGAGAGAAAGAGGAGCAAGAGAAGGAGAGTTCTTGGAGTTCTTGAAGGCAACAATGGAGTCTTCTTCTTCTTCTTCCATTTTTGTATCCATGGATAACTAAACCTCCATCTAGGGAGGTGATGAAACTCCTTCTTGTAAGCATGTCTAGTTTTTGATTTATTTTGGGGAATGAAATATGTATTTGACTAGTTCCATAATCTAGAGCATGTTACATAATGTAATGGATGTTTTAATGTTCTAAAGATCATGTTGCATTAAATACTCTTGTCTTAGATGATTTAATCTGATGGTTGTATGGCTTGTAGTTTCATAGTGACAATGGAGCTAAGACTATGGAATGGTTCTAATGGCATGATTTTGAGTAGCTTGTTAATTCATTGCTTAAGAATTTCTTTTGATGGATTAACCTTGTGACTTGTTTTCATGTGCTCTCATCAATTGATTACTTGTTTGACAATCTCTAGCTTAGTGAGCATGTTGAGGATTGCACCATAGTTTAGGTAATTTAAGCATGTGGAGCTTTGATAGGTTGTTCTTACATTTTAATTAATTGAATTTCTTGAAGATGTTATAGTAGTCATGAATTGCTATTCATCAATGTCATTTCTACATTAATTCCCCAAATCAATCATATAATTAGCTTGTGTAAAGGTTTGGAGTGGATTCACTTCCCTAGACTTCCTTCTCTAAATCTTTTCTTTTAATCTCCTTCAATTTATTGTTTTATGCATTCTGAATTTGTAGTTTAGTGACAAACAAAACAAACCCTCTATGAACACCCCTTATCACTCTAAAATGACTCTAGACACTTAGGTTGCCATAGCTTAGCGCAGTCCCAGTGGTTCGACTTACCCGACCAATAGCCCTATTTTACAATGATTCGTGCTATTGCGAAGGTTGATGTTTAATTGACCAACCGATCAAATATTCAAAAATTGATTTGGCTGCAAAAGGAAATTTTACGGTGGGAATTTATTCAAAGCAAGGAAAGACTACGGATAGCCCGGTTTAAGGCTCTTAAAGCTGATACACCATTAGTATGGAGTTTTGGATCTAATTATAAGCACTCTACATTATGGAGAACTGTATTGGCTGCTAGAGAGCATATGGCTACTAATATACAGTTTTTTTTTTTTTTTTGATAAGTACTACTAATATACAGTTCAATATTGGAAATGAGCACTTTGTCGATCCATGGTGGAAGGGGAAGACTCTAATTTAGACATTTGGCGAAAAGAACCATCAGAAAAAAATGGATTTAAAGAAGCATGACAGAAGTGTCCTTATAAATGAAGGAAAATGGTGTAGACCTATACATCTCAATGAAGTGGAACATCTTTGGAATCAAATACAACTTGCTTATACTTCAAGAGGAAGATCAGATAGTATGACAACATGGAAAGTTCTGTATCAAATCAGTGTGGAAGCATTTCAGAAAATCTTCTCCAAAAAAAGATTGGGCTCAATTGTGCTGGAATTTTGGAAGGCCAGCAGCCAGTTACAACACCATCAGCATCTTGAACTAGACATCCCTTAGAAGGTATTCTTAAAAGATCATCAACTCTTAATGAAATGGATGTATTGGTGGCTTGCTGAAAACCCAGTCTCTTGACTTGATCTAGGATGTGTGATATATATGCCATTCTGAAGTGCTCCATTAATCTACTAATAAGTCCTTTCATGGCAGTTCCGTCCATCACAAAAGCGGCCAATAATTACGGACTACCAAGAAAATAGAGATAAAATACGGTCCAGAATCACTCTCGTTGATATGCCATTTCTTGTTTCTACACGGGATAGGCTTATAAGGAGACAAGGATAGAGCGAGCCTCAGTTAAGCTCCTTTTTATGAGGGGCATTCGCTATAGAAGTCTTTTGTTCTTGGGGGGCTTTCTCCATTTCTGGAGTTCTCTCTATAAAATTCCATCTCTCAAAAAATCACAAATCAGAGGTATAAGCTTAGCCCCCATCTACCCTAACTGTATGAATGGTGGGGAATCTGGGATTCAGTTGATCAACTCTTCTATAATTGTGAATTTGCTTAGTCTGTTTATTATTGGTTAGCAGAGTTGTTCAAATGGAGTGCTTTACTCAATTGAGGTTATGGTTACAGTCGAAATTCAAGGGAAAACAATTGGTTCACAAGGTTGGCAGAATGATTTTCATTTTAGTTGTCGCGAATATATGGAGAAATATAAATCAGCTGCTGCACCAAATGGAAGCCTGTCAAATAGCTAGAAGAGTATGTTGGGAAGCTTTGGATTCCAAGAACTGATATTCATCATGATTGGTGGTGCAAGGGAGAAAGCGTCCTACAGAACTGTGTTTGGCTCTGCGCTGCTATGGGACTTCTGATAAATTTGTTGGGGCATATTCTAGTATGTAATAGAATATATGATAAAATTTGGTATAATTGGGAAGAGTAATCAGCAAATGAGGAAGAAAGAAGATAATGGAAGGGACTGACAATGGGCTACTAAGTTTTGTTTGCAGAAAATTTGTTGATTTTGCTTTTTGTTGCTGCTAGCTTTTGGAAATGGGCTTTATGGAGCCATCTGTTTTGTAAGGGTACGCCCTTACTTTGTTCTGTTGGTTAGCTCTGCTGTGGAAATAAAAATTTGCTTAGGAAAAAAAAAAAATGATAGTTATGGATAATAAGATAAGTAACTTATCAAAAAAAATAAAATAAATAAAATAAAATAAAAAAAAGAGGATAATAAGATAGGTGAACTCAATTAAATACATATGACCACAAGACCACCCACTCACATCCACAAAGATGCCTATTCCACTGTGCATGACAGGCTGCAATTTATAAGTTACAGCACCTTCTTTTTTTTTTTTTTTTTTTTTGGATAAGTTGTAAGTTGCTGCACATTGGAATGCAAATTTTAGAGTTTTCAACTGCTCCACATAAAAGATTTACCTCATCGAACTTTGTTGCAAACAAGTTGAGCGATGTCATTATTCCTCCATTGGGACCTAGATTGAACTGCTTCATCACTTCCTTGTACCTAACAGTGTCTCTTATATCAATATTTGCACCATATGGGAGTGTCATGACAGCAGGGTCAAGGTTCATCACATAACCCCGCATCTTTGAAGCTTGTGTGTGACACACCAACCGATGAAGAAACGTCGTTTTCCCACTCCCTAAACACATTTAACACATTTCTTAAATTCCAAACTCATAGTATAACATAAGATAATTCTAGAAAGCAAGAGACACAAAATACATATATCATACCAGCCATTCCTACAACAATAATGATAACTGGCTTTTTCTTGAATGTAATTGATAATGTCCCTTCCTGGGCAGATGATGACTCCTCCATATGTAGTTTGCCCATTGACTTAGTGATATCATCTTTCTCTTTAGCCTTCATATACAAAACCCAAAATATTTTTAAAAAATAATAATAAAAACAAAATAACAAACAAATGAGAAATAAAAAGGAAGCAACAAAACAAACTGTCACACTATTAGAGACAATTTAACAAACACAATGAAGGTTTAAAAGTATGCAAATACGAGTTGAATGTTTACTTTAGATTCAGACAATTCCTCCGAGTCCATTTGCATTGCCGATGCGGTTTCCTCAGGTGCTTTCAAATCGATGTCCATTGAATTTCTTAGCTTCTGTGTTTGGTGGAGAAAATACAGAAAAAATACAACTAGGGTTAGAGTTTTCATTAAAAAATAATAATAATAATCCTCTCTTTTCCTGCTGTCTATCGGAAATCAACGGAAATATATCAATCAGGATCATCAGGAATAGAAAATAAACCATTAAGTCAATGTCCAAACGGTATCCCTTAACAGTACACCAATTACTTGAAAAATAATGAAAAGATTGTCGAATTTTATGTCAAAATAATTCCAAGCAACTTCAAGGTCAATTTGAGTACATGCTCATTGCTTACAAATCAAAAGCAGCTCTACCATATATGCAATGCAGTATTAATTAGAGATAAATATTGACTTTGCAACGGCAATCAAAGGAAATATAGATTGAATCGTTTGAAAATTAATCTGAAAAGTAGAAGGAGGAAGAGAGACACTTACGTGTTCGTCTTCGAAGAAGAGAGAAAGCTCCGAGCCCTAACTCTACTCTGCTTCTTTCTACTTGTGAAAGGGTTTTACAAGGGTTTGCTTCTCTCTGTGTGCTCTCTCTCTCTCTCTCTCACTCGTTTATGTGGGTTGCTTTGATATTACTTCGAAGCCAAGTACATAAAAATAATAATAATAAATAAATAAAAGTATCTAGGGGTTTCTAGGGTCAGGCTAATTTGTGTTGGGCCAATGTAGAGCTGCAAATGAGCCGAGCCGAGCCGAGCTTTAGGCTATTCGGGCTTGGCTCGTTTGTTTATGGGATCAGCTCGGGTTCGGCTCGTGACGAGCTCAAAAATTTGGGCTCGGGCTCGGGCTCGGGCTCATCTTGATTTTAAAAACTCAGGCTCAGCTCGGGCTCGGCTCGTTTAACAAAAAAAAAAATAAAAATAAAATTCAAAATTAATTAGTATTCTACAGGCCACAATACCTTTTTCCATTACTTTATCAACTATCATGTAAGCAAAAAGAAAAAGGGCAAAAAAAAAAAGGTGCAGTAGTGCAAGCTTTTATGTTTCAAGAACAAATTAAGGGTTAATTTCGAAAAAAAAAAAAAAAAAAAAAATGACAAAATTGAGCATGAGTGCATTATGCATTTTCTATGAAAAAACAACACATCAAAAAGTTATAAATTCCCATGATAATAATATCTATAGAACCACTGAAACATTGTATATATTAAGTAGAAAAAGAAATCACAGAGGAAAATAAGTTGGAGATAAATTAATTTAGTTACCTGTGGCCATTGAGCATTAGTCTCCATAAATTTAGAAGAAGCAGAAGAAAAGGCTAAACAAAATTGTCTGCAACTGCCTAAAGAATGTTTTGAGGTTGTCCAGATCCATGGAATTAAAGTGAAAATAAAGTTTTGCCAAAAAATTAATTGATGCAGTACCTAATTGATGGCGAGGATAAAGGATGGCCAACGATGATGATGAGGATGGAGGGACAGCGGCACAGACGACGGCGGGAAACGAACGACGTCCATGGCGAAGACAGAGGACCGCGGCTGACGATGACGATGACAGACGATGCGTTTAGATCTGAGAGAGAGAGTTATGGTGATTGAGTTGATTAGAGAGAGACAGAGAAGTAGTTGTGCAGATGGAAGGGTTTTCGTCGCCGGTGGAGTTGATTCGTAATTCGTGAGTGAGTGATAGAGAGAGAGTGACTGACAATGTTGTGGAGAAGAGGCAGATCTGAATGGTGGGGTATTAGGGTTTTTTGATATCTTACAAAATCAACGGATGAGATGGGTTCTAATTTAATGGGTGAGACGAAATCTTATTTAGGCTATCAATCTATGGTGGATTTTCTTTGGGCTAGTAAGTTATAATGCTTGGGCCATATTAATGAAAAATATGAGCTGGGCCAAACTTAAAAATAATATGGACTAAACATTTTAAATGTACAATAAAAACAAATGGGCCTGATATATATAGAATGGGCCTGATATATGTAACGAGCCTGATACGAGCTTTGTTCACGAGCCTTAACGAGCCCATGTTCACGAGCCTATGCGAGCCGAGCCCAACGTTGCTCAAGCTCGGCTCGTTTAGTAAACGAGCCTAGAAATTAGGCTCGAGCTCGGCTCGTTTGCTTAATGAACGAGCCCGAGCCGAGCCCTTAACGAGTCGAGCCCGAGCTGTTCATGAACAGCTCGGTTCATTTGCAGCCCTAGGCCAATGTGAAAGCCCAAGCAAACAATTTGTGTTGGGCCCCTACTTGGGACAGTAGCATACAGATTTGCATATATATATATATATATATATATATATATATATTACATGATGTTATTGATGTGAATATGTAAAAATAAAAGGTTATCTCTAGATTAAATATATACTATTATTAAAAGTTGACATTATAATAAGATAATTAAAGGTAGTCCAACTAAACTAAAATACTTCAATAAGATAATTAAGGGTAGTCCAACTAAACTGAATTATGTTGTGCTTTAATCTCCCTTCTCCAATTAAACTTCCAATTAAAATAAAATAAGGTCATCTTCTTCTTCAATTAAACTTTATTATTTTTCAGTTTTACAGAAGCAAAGTCTAACACCTTCTTCTTCTATTTCTTTATATATTGATTTTTCATGTGCTACATACAATTTATCAAAGTTTTTTTTCTAATGAACATATGGTTACAGTGGAGTAATTCCGAAAGAAAGCTTATATTGGTTGAACAGAACTACAAATTCAAGCAGAGTCTGACGGTTTTGTTTTGTAATTGGTGCGATACCTTCTTCTTCTATTTCTTCATATATTGATTTTCATGTGCTACAATTTATCAAGGTTTTTTTTTTTTTTTTTTTTAATGAACATATGGTAACAGTGGAATAATTATGAAAGAAAGCTCATGAACTAAAATAAATAAATAAAAAATAACATGGGAATTTCATTGGATTGATGCTTTCTTTCTTTTCAACTGTTATGTGGTCATCCCTAAAAGTTGAAAGAATAGATATTATGAAGTGTTTAAAATTTGTAATTATTTTGTAAATTCATTTTAAAAATAAGATTAAAATTTAATTTCACTACTTGCATTGCACGTATCTTTGACTAGTAAACAATAAATGTGCAATGTGAAAAGGTGGTTTTTTTTTTTTTTTTATTCTTCCAAAAGTAGGGTTTAATTTTTACACTTCACAAATATCTAAAACATCTAAAATAGGTTATGGGTTTTTTCTTTTTTTTCTTTTTTTTTTCTTTTTTTTTTTTCCCCCTTTTCCAATAAAAGTGATCAAGTCACTCCTTTTCCGTTGGTAAATGCGAGTGTTCTAACTCTACATATGAATATCATTTTTTTTCTTGCATCAACCGTGTCACGTTCTGGAGCGATTCCTGGAAGACAAGAGATAGTGATGACCGGCAAGGTGCCATTCAGGTGTACTCTGACGGTCAAGTTAATACTTGACGATTGAATATCTGAGAAAAGATTCAATATGAGATTTATAGCATACCTGTGTCACGTTCTGGAGCGATTCCTGGAAGACAAGAGATAGTGATGACCGGCAAGGTGCCGTTCGGGTGTACTCCGACGGTCAAGTTAATACTTGACGATTGAATATTTGAGAAAAGATTCAATATGAGATTTATAGCATACCTTTGTTGACAGATGACTGCTTTTATAGAAGAATTAATGGTGGTAATCTTTTGTAATGAAACGGATTTATTTTCCTTGTCCATTATGAATTGCAAGATTCATCGGAAAGGGTATTAGTTGCTATTTTTATCTCACATGGAACTCTTAATTCGGTCAAATATTTGTTCCACGTTCTCGAGTTTGCTTGTCAAACTTAGGGAACGTTTCTATTTTTTCACCTGCTTAGGTTAGTCAAGTAAGAGTATAGGAGCAACAAAGCAAACATATATATACTTTCCTTCTCTTTTTTATATGTAAATAAAAGTTCATAGATGTATAAAAGTTCAGAACTTGCTAGTCAATAGTTTGGGACAAATATTGATCATATAGAGGATGGTAATTGTAGTACTTGTTTTAAAAATATGATTTTATTTTATTTTTTAAGAAAGCAATCCAAACACATACTTAAAAATGTAATGTCAAGGAAATCAATACATACAAGCATGCGCATGTAGATTAGAGCTACAACTCGGGCGGATTAGGTGGGCTTGGCATTCATCTCGGGCTAGGCCTATATAGAAAACCTTTAACCCAAGTCCATCCCGAGCCGAGCTGCCCAAGCCTAGCCATACATAATTTGTCCAACCTGAGCCTGCACTAAGCCCACCTCAGAAGAATTTGTGTGTAAAAAATAAATCAATTAATGCTGCACCCATTACTTGAACTTGAAATCTTAAGCATAAATCCCAAGTACACTACCAACTTAGTTACAAAACTCTCGTGACTTAAATATAATTATAAATATATATAATATTTTCGGGCTCGGGTTGGGCTTCGGGCTTCATCCATATCAACCCAAGCCAGCCCAAATTGAATTCTGGCTCAAAACATGTAGCCTAGACCCAAACTAAAATTAGAAAAACATTGCCCAAACCCACAAAATTTCGGGCTAGGCTTGGGTTATTTTGGGTTGAGCCCACCTTAGTTGCAGCCCTAATGTAGACACGCACCACATCATTCACATTTGGTAGTCTTCCTCTATGCAATAGGAAATAGATTTTTTTCGGAACAAGGGGGTGTCATGTATAAGATAAATGACTATTTATACAATGAATACTAGAACATAGCAGAAGAGCAAGATATCTTAATTTGTTAGAGTGGCTCTTTAATTAGAGAAATGTCATGAGTTCATTTCCCACTCAAATAAAATAATTTTATTATAGAGTAACAGCCCTATGGGGGAGGGGGGGGCGTGTTGATGTAAGTTATCAGCTGAGACGACTCTGGTTTTTCAAGCCAGTGCGTCCTGTGATGAATCGAAGTTTGACCCGATAACAGATCCGAATGCGGAAGCGAAAATAAAAATCAAGTCTCTAGAGATGCAATGCATCTCTAAGACGCCAAAGTGACCTTCCATGAGGCCACAGATCTCAACGAGAACAAATACGGAAGCGAAAGATTAGAAAAAGACCAAATAAGCCCCCCAATGGCAAAATAGTCTTTTATATGGAAATAACATCTTTAGAAATGTACATCATCCTTAAGACACAATCATGACTTCTCATAAAGCCATGAAAACAAAAGGAAAACAAGTGGAAGCGACGTTTTAAAAAGGGACAAGTTTAGCTCTAAGGGCAAAATGGTAATTTCTAGCAAGATTTGGGTGCTACCAACTGTCGGTTTACTCGGATTGATTGTTCGCTCCGCTCTACTTACTCTTCCTTTTATCTATAGTGAATGAAAAGTCTCGCACACATAGTCCATTAGGGAGGAATAAGGGGAACTAAAGCACAAGAAAGGGTCCTATATTAAAGAAAATCAAACTAGCTAGAGAGGGAGACCAACGTCTCTTTTCCCCCCGTAGGTGCAATGTATGACTGCTGACAATTGCGAACCAATTGACGAAAACTTCCTCGCTTGAGGCTATGTCGTAGCACACCATTGGAAAGACAAAGAAGAATTAATCAAGTTAGACTCAAGAATCACTTGATTCAGAATCCGGATGTAAGAGAAAAGTCAAAACAAA